CAAAAATCTATCAGATCAATGCCAAAGCAAAATTTAATTAAAAACACGTGTTTTCATTGCACATAGGTCGTTTGATAAACAAAATTTTAAAACATTGGAAAGAAAATTAGAGAAACTTATTATTTATTTTGATGCAATGCAAATTGTTTGCCTTGCTTAGTTGCAAAAAACGCAGGAACCTCGAAAAAAGATTTTGAATTGTCAGTTTTTTTTGTTGATACAAATTGAGACTATTAAACACTAAAGCACCTACACGTGTAGCAACACGTGTAGCAACCCAACTGCTTCCACCCATCAAGGTTTTACAGAGTTCTTAAGTTAAATGTTTATTGCTGTGAAGGATGGATGGAGACATTTCTTTGTTCTTGAGTAGGTTCTTTCGAAACGTTTGCTGCGTGATTGAAGAGAAAGAAAAAATTGCTCAAGTTGTGGAGAATTTGTCTTCGTGGAGAGAAGGGGTTTAATTGCTCATTTTTCAGAACTGGGTCTCGTGTCTGTGGATTGTGTCTAGTGCTCAATTCAAGATTTCAGATTTATGCAATAATGTTTTGTTTAACTAAGTTAGAGCGAGACTATGTGCATTCTCAATTATTCATCGAATAGCGAGATGGGGTTTGACTTGAGCTAGTCTTGTAAATAATTCTCAGGGGTTTGACCTCCCAACGTCCCCCTTTGTTTTTTTGAGATATCCATTTTTGACTGACGCGTCAGTCAACAATGGACGTTGTTTCTAAAGTCTCCCAAAAAGATACTTGTTTTGAGGGGAAACTCAGAAAGTTGATTTGTTGGACTGAAAAAAAGGCCTATAACTTTTCGGCCACTTTTTGAAAATCCGCTCCCTTCCTCACAAAACCCAAGACCAGCACCTGCAACCTGATTTTGGAACCTAGGAGCAAACTACCGCCCTCTTCTGCTACAAAGTGAAATGAATAGTTAGAAAAAGCTCAGTTTTTACCCTGTTAATTGTTTCCTTATACTACAAAAGTTATTTTGATGCAAGACTGTGTGTTATTTTTTGAACAGAAAACGATAAGTTGTTGAAAATGATGGTATAGATAACAAACGAAGTATAATACTCAAAAACTTGGAAAGTGGAAATCCTAGTAAATTTTATTGCATATGTTATCGATAAGCGAAGTATCGAAAATTCAGCAGTTTAGTTTCAAATACGGTCCACCTTGATATGTATCGAAAACTTTCAAAAAGATTGATAGCGTTTCGATTGTTTTAACAAAGCGTTTTTCCAAAATCTCTAATTAAGCAAAATAGCTTGAAAGAAGATTTAGGAGTTTTTGAGTTCAAATACAATCTACTGAGGGGAACAAACTGATCATTACGCCGGAAAATTACCTAATGCGACATTTTTGGAACGAGAAAGAGACTACAGTTAAAGTGAATTTTTTTGTTTATTTATTACCTTATTCTTGCCCAGGAGCGTAAAAATCGTTTATTGTGCTAGTTTTTCACAAGTTAGTTTTTTCTGGCTCCAGTTGTGTAGAAATTGACGAAGTTTTTTTCTGTTACGTGGCTCAAAAATTATGTTGTTTTTCCACTGAACTTTATTTTTTACCGGGTAAAATTTATCAATACAAAATTGCAGCCTTCGCAACTAGTTTCTCCTTTGCCTTCAGTTCTGTTTTTCTGCTTGTGACTTTCTCGGGCAGTCTCGTTTTATTGTGACTAACGAAGCGTTTAGGAGGGAGACCAGGGACACTCAAAAACGAGCTCAAATCAAAAATACAGACAAAACTGAAATCTCATTTGGTTACCTTATCTAAGATTTTTGAGGGAAAATTGTCGAATGTTTTTGACTGAAGCATTTTGAGTTTTGTTTACCCTCTTAATTATTCTTAAAACTTACAATTTTTTTTATTTCACGCAACTGCTTCGTCAAAGTTTTAAAAAGTTATTAAAAAGATCAACATCAAAAAACATTTTCTGTCGAGCTAAATCATCAGGTGACTCAATCCAAAAATGGCTCGAAATGGATATTGTTTTTTTTTCAAAAAGCACGGTCATAAACATTCCAGGAGCTAACCGCAATAAAAGAAACTTTGAAAAACAAAACGTTTTTCGAGTTTTTCATGACAAAAACTTACCTGAAAGAGGCTAAAGTGAATCTGTTTCAAAAATTAGCGACTACTAAAATTTTCAGACAAGTTGTCGCAGAACAAGAAGTAAATTGCTGTAGAGTTTACATCAGAGAATAGTCAGATTACTATATAATAAATGACTCAATTTCAGATAAAGTTCAAAAATCTATCAGATCAAAGCCAAAGCAAAATTTAATTGAAAACACGTGTTTTCATAGCACATAGGTCGTTTGATGAACAAAGTTTTGAAACATTGGAAAGAAACTTAGAGAAACCTATCATTTATCATGATGCAATGCAAATTGCTTGCCTTGCTTTATTGCAAAGAATGCAGGAACCTTGAAAAAAGATTTGGAATTGTCAGTTTTTTTTGTTGATACAAATTGAGACTTTTATACACTAAAGCACCTACACGTATAGCAAGTAAGTGTCAATCTCTTTTTTTAAAACTTTTTCTCTGATTAATTTGGGCTGTTTAAAAGTTTTTGAAAGAAAAAATTAGAAACCAAAGCAACACTTGAATCGTCGACTCAACCTTTTTTATGACGCAGAAAACACAAAAAACTTTAGTACTGAACAGAATCTCAGAGAAGAACTTTAAGGGAAAATTTTCTCATTTCTTGATTGTGAAAACACATTTTGCAAAATGAGTACAATTTCAGGTGAACTGTTAAAAGATTTTTACACGCTACAGAAAACAATATCAGAAAAAATTATGGGTAAACAACACCATTGAAAAACACGACAAAAAACATTGATGTTGGCACTTCTATCTCAAAACTGACTTTGAAAAAATTTATTATGATGTGCCACAGGGCTCGGTTTTAGGTTCATTTTTTTCGTTATCTTGGTAAATTATTTATCCTCAAGTCAAGAAAAAACCCTTATATTTCTTTGTGCAACTTTGATTTCAGCATCACCCACCAGCTCAAAAAGCAAAAAAAAATAAGCAAAACTTATAGTTGTCGGAAAGAAAACAATCTCAGCATCAATAGCAATAAAACAAAATCAAGGATTTTTAAAGTGTTAAACAAAGAATTTTTATTTGAAGCGCGAATTAATAAAACAAAGTTGAAAACAGGAAATCAATTAGTTACTTAGAATTAAGAAAAGACCAATTTTCGAGTTCTGTTAATCAGGTTGTTATCCTGAGTAAAAAGTTAATTACGTTTCGCGGTTTATTCTAACTGAGGAAAATTTTACGCAATAATTAGTTTAGGATATGTACAAAGCTTTTGTGCGACCTATGATTCAATATGCAGTTTCAACAGATGTTGTTTCAAACAACAGTGTCATATCACAGCTGGTTGATGATCTCAGAAGACTATTCAAAGGAATTTTCTTTAAGCAAAAATTCGACTTAATTGGAATAGCACGGGAAATACACAAAAAGTGTGCATCTACTGTTCTTCACATTTAAAATTATATAAAAATATTATGAAAAATTTCTCCAAAAAAACAATTATCCAGCAGATATTTTATGTAAGATAAAAACACTAGAAGGCTAAGTTATACTATCAAAACAAAGAAGGAATTCAAAAAATTTAACGACTTGTGCAAATTACAAAACAAAAAAAACTTTGCATAGCATATTAACAAGGTTGCTCAGTTGCGTCTTTAACTATGAAAACAATGGGTTGAGTTTACCCGGAAAATGGCCAAAACGCCCCCATAATAGAAAAAACCACCTGTTTTTAAATAACTTCATTTTGAACAATGAAGATCTATTGAACATAATATACAGCTAGAAAAATTATTATATCATCTACACAGGTTAAATTCATTTTTTTCTTTTTTTTTTCTTTTTTTAAAAAGCTGGTACCTCTTTGCGTTTTCTGCATTTTGGTCGATAATTGATAAAATTGGAGTTAGGAAATCAAGAAACTAATTTGATTTTCCAGCTCAGAAAAGCCTGAAAGCGGACCAGAAGGTTTGATAACAATCGTGACCAGTATACTAGCCTGGAAACAGTCATTTATCATTATCATTATAAAGTTATTCACTGTATGGTATCAGTCTCTGTTTTAATGGAAAAATTCGAAAAGCAGTTAGTTAGAAGACGGTTTGTTGAAACCAGAAATTAGTTTACCAATCGACAACGTATTTTTTAATAAGAAAAAATTGTAGGTAACCAACAGTGAAAAAGTATACTTTAGGGAATTTCTATAGGTTCTAAAGGGCGAATTAAAATAGACAATTAATTAAAGTGAAGTCAAAAACTATATAAAAATTTGAAATTGTGGCAAAAAACAATCAACTTAACTTTTTTTTTAATTCTAAGGGTTGGGGTGGGCAGGTTTTTCGAAACAGGTTCGTTTCAGTATTGTGGTTGCCCAAGATGACAAATTTGCTTGTCACTAAATGCATAAAATTAAAACAAAGCTTTCTTACCTTTTCATACCGTTTTATAGACAAAAGTTTGCATGAAAACGGCAAAAACATTATACTTTCCAAACAAAGAACTTTAAAAACGACAGCCTGGAATTGAATAACAAGTCTTTTTCCGAACCTTCTATGATGAAAAATGTATCCATGGTTATTTTTATACATCGAAAACGGAAGATAAGATCAGAAAACCAGTGCTTTGAACCTAAACAAACCCGACAAAAATCCGGCTATCAAAAAATCCTAGATTTGGCCCCCGCATTCCAGCATAACGTCAAACTTGATGTGTTTTGTTCACCGTGAAATCTTTTTTTATGCTTTTCAGCTTCGTAGAAAATTAAAAAATGGTCAGCTGTCTTGTATGTTAAACTGTCTGTCTTAACTTTTTCGGAGAGAAACAGCGAAAAAACACTGGCCTTCTCTCTTTTTTGCGTCAATATTTAAGTTGTTTTATTGATTTATGTGCTAGAAAGCTGCGTCAGAAAAATTAAAACGTGCATTTTTGTTAGTGGATTGGTGAAAAACACCTGAACAAATTTTAATCTAACATATGCAGATAAGCGAGTGATTCTGATTTTTCGATAGTTTGCATAATTTTGTATCGTAGTTTTACGCCAGCAGTTCTTTCCTTAATCATTTATTTATATATACCGAGAAGTTTTACTTCCATATTTTCAATTTCTACTAACTGCGCAGCTTGCAGCTTGTTCTTTCGCAACTATTCGGTAAGTTGTAGTGTGCAAAAAACTTAATGAGAAATAAATTGAACAGAAAAAAATTAAAGTCAGAAATTTTTTCTTCAAAATGCTACTAAGTTAAATAAAATGAAAATTAAAAAGCTAGAAATGATTGATTATGACAATTTTTTTTCAATTTCTGAGAAATTTGTTCGCGCTTCACGTTTTATAACCCAGCGCAAAACAAGAAAAAAAAACATCTGAAAGTCAATTTAATCAATTTTTTGTCTTTAAGATAGGTTTAAATGACTGGTTATAAACTCATAAAACGCAAAAATGCAAGGTCAACTGAAAATCAGCTGTGCCTATACTTGTAATGCGTCAATTAGAAGAAGAAATTGAGTTTAAGCAAAACTTAAATGATGATTAAACCCTCTCTTCTTACGTTCTCCCGAAAAAAAAAGATCCTCATCAGATTTTAAATTTCAAAATCTCAAAAGAATGGCAAGGTTTTTCAACTTCACTATGACTACGTTGGCTGACAGTAGCAGCAGAATCTGCAGATAAATTTTGTCCAAGCTCGAAGCTCACGTGTAACGTTGCTTTTTGTTCCGACCTTTCGAAAAATGGGGAGGAACTTTGTGTTCGGGTGTGTTTTAGTTTTTTTTTGTTTTCCACGCATTATCCGGTACCACAAATAGTAATCGGACTGGGTTAAGCAACATATCTATTTAAAGTCCTTTTAGTCGTGATTCGAACCACATTCAAACATTTCCTAAAAATTTTCCCATTGTCGTGAAAAAACCGGTTTGAAATTTTAGATTTTTCGTCAATTCGAGTGAGAAAAGCAAGCGAGCAGGCTTACAACAGCTAATTTATGCCTAATTTAAGACCTTAAGGCTTAAATTTTAAAGCAAGTAAACCGGTTTTCGGAACCAAAAACCTCAAAAAACCTCAATTTTGAATATTTTTTTGTCCAATTTGCCTAGTCATTTTTCTACGAACATTTTTGTCGATTTTGCCTAAATTACTAAGACTGCCTAATATGCCTAAATTTGTTTTTCATGTCAGATCTTTTTATCACATCAAGCAGAAGAAACTACTAAAAATTCTAAATCGTAGTTTTATAAAGACCATGGTCGGAACATTCTGTGCTACTTGCGCAATAGCGGGCTATCCTTGTTTGATTCTTTAATTGGTTCTTTTTGTTTTATTGCTGTTTTATTCGTATAAAAAAATGTGTCTATTGTGTTTGAAATAAAGGGTAGCACTTTAATCATGAGAAAGAGGGTGCTCCTAGTTTTAATTTTCGAGTGAAAGCACACTTAAACGTTTTTTTTTTAATTTTCTGAACCTACGTTGACTACTTGCAATCTCTTTCACAAATATTTTTTTGCACTTCTATAGCTTAATTTTTTCACTTCAAGTGTTTCAAACGGTGAGATCCAGAAAGATTCAGTGTGCTGCATTTGCGTTCACATTGTCAAAAATTTCTAATATAGCATCAAACGAGCATCTACCAATTCAAGTCTGAAGACAATCTGATGTTTGGTCAAAACTAATTATCTGGAAACCAGCAGTGGCAAAATAGATACAAAAAACTCTACATATTCACAAGTCATACTGTAATCAATTTATCTACAACAATTTTTCGATTGTTTTCTACCAAAGTTAGATAGATTTTAGTGCCAAGTCAATCGATTTTTCTCTGAAAACCCTGTGTTTATTCTTTGAATAACTTGTATAAAGCCAGTATATAAATTTCATACAGTTTCTGTATATAGTCTGTCCATAATCTGCTTATAACCGTTATTTAATTTACAGTTAACCTGATTTTCAAAATTTTTATAAGTATGTAATCTGTATATAATCTGTATACGATATGTATTTAGAAGGCATGAAATTCAATGAAAAAAATTACAGTTTCAGAATGTTTTTTAATGAGTATTTAATAAAGATATACATTATATGACTTTTACAAAGGAAATACCATTTAATCGATTATACAAACCATACAATCTAAGTTTTACTGCAAAAAAATTACGAAAAATCTAAAAAAATCTATATTTTCTATAAATATTGGATTTTATCCGTTTTTGTCACGGCGGGTGGTTGCCATTCAACGAATTGTTGTGTAAAATTTGCTTGATATCAAAGTCTGGACAAACGGTGCGACTTGAGCACGTGTTAGTAATTTTCGTTACAGTATTGTTTCTGTTTTTTTTTAAAGTCGAGGCTCCCTCAAAACAAAGAAAACTTCACAACCAGATTTTTGGTTTTACTTCATAATAATTTTTCGTTCTATAAAATCAGCTACAGATCTAAGACCCTTCCTATGCACAAAAGAACAAAAATCTGCAAGTAGTGTAGGTGTTTCCAACTCAAAATACGTTATGGAGAAAAAAAAACCAGAAAAAAATTTGTTGAATTTTTGCTCAACTTTGTCAAAAATTGTCTGGTCTTCTATTGCTTTCCAAACTACGTACAACTTTGCATGTGACACGGGATGAGATGTTTTTGATGACACGTGCTTTGACATTCGAATGTTAATAAGTTAGCAGAGTTGATGCATTTTTAAATCATCAAATGAAGCGAAAAAAGCTATTTGTTTCAAAACAGCATAACAAAAATAATAACTCGACTTCTTTCTAACTCAATTAACTGCTGCTTGATTTTAAGTAAAGTTTCCAAAACCCCAATAACCGGTTCAAAAGATGAGTTTATACATCTATTGCAATACATGAATTCAATCAATCAGTGCTGTGCCAAATTGCAAATATAAAATTGATAGTGAAAAAAAAGTATTTCGCTAATTTATTTTTATCTTCAGATTGGTTCCTGATGTAGAACGAAATATAGAAAGCGCAGGTTCGAAAAAAAGTATCTTCAACAACATTCAGTTTTTCACTTGTGTTTCGTTTGGTTGGTAGTTTGTTAAAGTGGATTTTTCAATTTCAGAATGACATTTCACTTATGTTTCGTTCAGTGCAAAAATTTTTATTGCAATTTCTTATATGGCCATTTCTTAAAGCTGTTACTGGTCAAAATTTTCATGAATGATAAAAGTTTTGGTAGAAAAATAGTTTTTACAATAACTTTGAATAATTAAACATCATAAATTTCAACTAGGCAAACCATCGCAATCATTTTGACCAATGTTAATCATTCAATGACTAAACATTTACCAAAACTTCAGCTTACAAACTAACTCTACTCTCCAACTTTGTCAACAGGAATAAACAGCTATGTATCGTTCAGTTCCTTTTAAAAAATTCTTCCCTCTATGGATGTCCAGAGATGCAAGGGGGTGCGACCCAGTACAACACGTGGATTCCAATTGCGTGCCCGCCAGGTCTGGAATATCTGGCCCAGATTGACCAGGTGTACATCAAACAGCAGGTAGAGACGCTGGAAGTTGTGACTGGGATGCACACGGAGAACAGATACGAAATCAGAAACTCAGCTGGCCAACTGGTTAGTTAACATTTTATAAACTAATAACAAAAATTATGCACCAGAACTTTATTAAATTTGAAAAACTTGTTTAATGAAATCGTGGGATGGAAAAAATCTGGAAACGGTAAATACGTGTTTAAAAATGGCCGTGTTTATTTATCAAAACTTTAAAAATTTCCGCTTGCGAGTTGTTTTGAAGCTTGTAAAACTGAACATATCTTTGCCTTCAACTGCGTTTTTTAAGCAGCCAAACTTCAAGTCTAAGGTTATTATCAATAATACACACAAAATAATGGCTTTTGGTTAGTTACCGTTCGTAGAATTTGTTCCTTCCAACATGAGATAAGTCTAATCAGGGGCGGATTTAGGGGGAGGCGGGGGGGGGGGCGGACGCCCCTTCCTCAGGGATTCGACCCCTTGCCGACCCAAAGGGTCACCCCTTTGGTACTTTTTAAGAAATCCATTTTTGGCCGACCGACCCTAAGATTTTTCTAAAGGCGCCAATATATACTAATTTTAAGGGGGGCGCGCGCCAAAAAAAACGCAATTTTTCGGTCAAAACTTTCCAAAAAGAGGCAAAAAAGGCATTTTGGACTGTTTTTTCAAATTTTTGCCTGCGGCGCAGAAATTTTGGCTAAAACAGGGACCAAAATGTACTTAGGGAGAGCTCGAAAAATCAATTCGGACGACTTAAAAAAAGGTCGACAAAATTTCGAAAAAATTTTGAAAATCCGCCCCCCCCCCCCCTCGAGAAAATCCTAGATCCGCCCCTGGGGCAGGGGGCGGACGCCTTTTTCTTTGAGCGATTCGACCCCTGCCGACCCAAAGGGTCCCCTTTGAACTATTTTGAGATATAATTTTTTAGTGACCGACCCTAAAATATTTGTAAAGGCGCCTTTGATGCCAATATATACTAATTTAAAGGGGGAGCGCTCGCCAAAAAAACTTTCCAAAAATTTTCCAAAAAGTGCCCACAAAAACGCTTCTTTGGTCTGTTTTTTTTTAAATTTTGCCTGGGACTTTTTAGTGCTATAGGAGAGCTCGGAAAATCAATTTGCCAAAAAAGGTTGACAAAATTTCGAAAACCCTCGAGAAAATCCTAGATCCTAAATCCGCTCCTGCGGTCAATAAAGTAGGAATTTCGTTTTATGTAAAAAGTGGTCGTACAAGTTCATACTATTAAATTGTCTGAGCAGCAATATTCGAAGGAGATTAATCTCGAAAAGATCGGCTTATATCCTTCTTTTTGCCACTTCCATTAGTTTTAATAATCGTCTTCTGAAGCAAAACAATTAAATTAAAATTCCAAGTAAAACAACAAAATGCAGTTAAATTAATTTAAGTTTCCAATTCTCAGTATATCTAAAAGCTTCAATTAGGATTTTCTTGTTAATATTCCTGGGTAATCTTTGTTACAATATCCTATAAGGTTTTGAAAAAGCATAACCAAAGTTTATTGTTGTGGAGAAAAGTTAGTTTATTTGTAAACATTTAATTCGGTTTCAGTTTATGTTTGCTCGCGAAGAATCGGATGAAAATGAGCGATTATGCTGTCCTAATTCGAGAGGATTTATCCTTCACATCACAGACAACAACGGATTGGAGCTCTTGCGATACAAGTCACATCTTTTCCAGCGACTCTCAAACACAGCCTTAGTTTTAGAATAAACTCAAATAGTTTTTTTTACAAATATTGTCATTTTCAAACCAGTTTAAAGTTATCTGATTGAAATGCTGGCATCATTTGCAATGACAGATTTTTAAAAAACGACGATTTGCTACCATAGCAGTTTTCATTTTCTGCATTTGTGAAATTTTGCGTTTTTTTCCCGATCACCCCGGTAAAGTTCGGATGAAGCTGATGCCAGGGTCCGCTTTTTTCCAGAAAGCTCGCAAGGGTTAATGAGACACTCTTTTGAAGGCTATAGGTCTTGTTTGAGATGCATAAAAAAGTTGATATAATCACCTCAATTTTGGAAAAAAATGGTTTGAAATTTCGAAGTAATTTCGACAATTTCTGCACAGAGGCTCACCTCCATTTTTATTCTTCTTTTAATTTTTATGAAATTTCGTACAAAAAACTTGCTTTAAAAGTGTTTTTTGTTGGTAATTTATTTTTTCTATTCCAAATATTGTGGTAAATCAGTGTAGTGGTCAGAACATTCTCTGCTATTCGAGGTATTGAAACATTTTTCCATTTAGTTTAATAAGTTAATTACATCAACCATTTCATCTTTATACAGATATTTATAATACCGAGGGTTATACACTTTAAAAACCATGGAAATGGAAAAAGAAAATGCAGGCAATTCGAAAAAGAAAACAGTTTAAAAGAGGAAAAAACTAAAAAAGGACAAAAATATTTAAAAAGCTTTCGAGTTTAACGAATTCCTTCTAAATATGTTTTGAGGGCGCTTGAAAAGATTGAATTGGACGTAGAAAGGAGTTCGCCTACTGTGACAACCAAATGACAGTTGAAACTCCGATGGGACAGGTACTCGGGAAAGTGGGCGCCGGTAAGTACTAAAAAGACTTAAATTGCTTCGTTAAAACTTTTTTAAAGAGAAGCTGTCAAAAAAAAAACAATTTTTTTAAAGCAAAAAAGTGAACTTTAATTTTTTATATATATAATCTGTTAGATAAACTGAGATGTAACTTTTTTTTTAAAATGAATTAAGGTGAAAGTGTTTGAATCAGGAAATCTTTTGGAAATTTTCTGCTCATCAGTCGCCTTTGATTTTTGCAATTTTTTTCTGCGATTTTTTTGTATCTGCATACTTCGCAACCACGCAAAAACTAATATGAGCTTGAACAGAATATATTTAATATTTAAACTCATTTCGTGTTTAATAGGCGAAGACGAGGGTTGTTGTGATCCGAAGTTGAGAGTGACAGATGAACAAGGACAATTCATACTATACATTAAAACTGAAGATGCCGGATGTCTATGTAAGTCCAGTTATTACAGTCGCTGTTTTTGTACAAATTGTTTCAATTTGTCTTCTCAATAATCTTTTTTTATTGTTCTGATGGCAAGTGCAATTTGAGATGAAAAGCGACGAACAGTTCGAAAAACTTGATTAATATAAATAAAAAACAAACTTTCGTAGGGTCTTAAGGGTATCGAAAGTGTTAATAAGAAAACGCGAATCTGATGTTCTCTGATAACAAAAATATTTCAGTTAAACATTATACCTCTAAAATTTGACGACCAGTAGCGTGCCGAGGGGTGGGGAGGTTCCACTGTAATTTAACGAGATCTATTTTCGGCTTAACAAGATGAAAAAAATTTTAAGGCGCCTTTAGCGCTAATATAACTAAATTTAAGGGGACGCGCGCACCGAAAAAACACAACTTAAGCCTGTTTTTTTTCAAAAATTTGCTAAAAACCTAAACATGACCCAAACATGACCCCTTAAGTCAGGGGCGGATCTAGGATTTTCTCGAGGGGGGGGGGGCGGATTTTCAAAAAAAAAACGTTTTTTAGGTCGACCTTTTTTTTAGGTCGAACAAATAAATTTTCCAAGATCTGCTAGAGCAAAAAAAGGTGCTGTTTTGGCCGAAGTTTCTGTGCCGCAGGCAAATTTTTGAAAAAACAGGTCAAAAAAGCCATTTTTGGGCACTTTTTCGAAAATTTTGACAAAAAAAAGCTCTTTATTTTGGCGCTCGCTCCCCCTCAAAGTTAGTAGATATTGGCGCCTAAGGCGCCTTTAAAACAATTTGAGGGCTTCCGTTTCCTGATTTCTGATTTCAATTTGCTC